GTTTGCTAATACTTTATGTCCAATCTTTTATTGTATTGAGAATGTTTTTCTTATTTTTAGTTCTTTATATATTTGCATCAAGAATATATGTTCCAATTTGTAATTTTTTCACATTCCTTAAGATATCTTTTGATAAAAAGTTCTTAATTTAATATTGTCAAATTCATTCATCTTTTCCTTCATTCGGCAATGCTCTTGGTACCTTGGGTTTTTTCTTACTCCAAGATCTAAGAATGTATTCATCTGTTTTTTTCTAAGAAGAGTCTTAAGGTTTTGTTTTTAATATTTAACCTCATCTATCTTGAATTCTTACATTTTTATATAAGATGCAAGGTCTATTAGAGAAACATTTCCCAGTTCTGGTCACTGATGCGAGTCTCCTTTGTCCTCACTGGACACGCCTTCTCAGTCCTGGAGCTGCCTCACAAGGCCCCTTGGCCGGGTCACAGCCTCTCCGCTCTGTGCTGTGGGCTCTTTTGCTCTTTCTCCTCAGTCCACTCAGGCTTCATTGTTGTAGCTTCAGAAGAGGTCCTGAGGTCTGGTCAGCCATCTTTCCCTCCTGAGTTTCTTCTTCCCGTGTGTCTTAGATATTCTTGACCCATCATTGTCTCATGTAAATACCAGGTTTCCTTTCGGTACTTTGATTGAGATTGCATTATCCATTAATTTGAAGAGAATTGACATTATCTAAATATTAAGTCTTCTCAATCGTGATGAGATACATCTGTCCATTGTTTTAGAGCTTTTTAAATATCTCTTAATAAAGTTTTATAATATTCCCTGTAGAGTTAGTGTACATCTTGTGTGGAATTTAGTATATACTTTATATTCTCCTATACTAACATAAATGCTTTTCTGAATGATACTCCCATAAGTGAAAGTGTATATGCGGCTACCTTGTTAATCTCTGGTTATAACGTGTCACTTCTTTGCTTTTGTTTTGTTTTGTTTTGTTTTGTTTTATATTTTGTTCAGATAGAGTGGGGGGGAGAGAGAGAGAGAGAGAAACATCGGCGTGAGAGGGACACATCGAGTGGTTGCCACCCTCACAACCCAACCAGGGCCGGGGACAAACTGCAACCGAGGTACGTGCCCTTAGCGGGAACCGAACCCGGGTCTCTGGACCGCAGGCCGACGCTCTAACCGCTGAGCCAAACCGGCCAGGGCATAACGTGTCACTTCTTTTGAGGACAATGGTGGGGCAGGAATAGAATTACAGTGGTTTCTTTTCTACTTTTCCTCCCATAGCTGTGAGGGCCCCAGGCCAAACCAGTCCCACACAAGTCACATCTAAATTCCCTCCCAGCTGTCTTCATGTCTTGATGTTGCTCCATTCCTCTTGGAATTGGTCTTGTTGTAGACTGAGTGGTCTTTCTAGTTTAGCCTTTTGGTAAGAATGAGAACCAGGTAACTTACATTCACAGTAAGTGTAGAGTGTTTATGGACAATACCATGCAACAGTGAAGAACTGAGGTTCAGAGAGATCAAGCAGTATGTCTGTGACCACACAGCAGACAAGTAGCAAATCTGTCCTGTGAGACGGAGGTTCCCATGGTCCTTGCCTTTGGGTTCGTGAGGCTCACATGAATTGACGTTTATCCATTATTGGCCATGCCTGGGACAGAGCGAGTGCTGTGTGAGCGTTCTGTTATCATCAGTATGCTCTGCTCTGCTGATTGTCACCAACATTCCTGCCCAGTTTAATAAGAGACATAGGGTGAGGCTCTAACCCTAGTACAAGGTATCATTTTGGTGCTACATTGAAAGTTGACAGTGTTTTGGTATTTAAGGACTATAGATAACATTTTTAGGAATTGAGACGGTCTTTTGGGGGAAGTGGCAATTGAGTTAGGCTTAATTAAATGAGTAGGATTTAGTGGAAAGGGGATGATTTTAAAGGAGGGCTGGTGTGAAGGCAACACGAGGCGAGGAAGCACGGAAACATACACCTCTTGGGAAGGGACAGATCATTCCTGCAAAACCTGAGGGTTTGCATTTTCCTGCTGTTCTTTGTGCCCGATACCTTCTTTTGGTTATTTATAACTTCCAACTGGAGTTTTAGATCATTTGTGTGTGTGTAAAAGAGAGTTTGTTAAGCTCTAGCAAAAGAAATAGCATTTTATAAGTTCATTAACAAGCAACATCTCCTGCTCCATGGGTAAATAAATGCATGTTCATATTAGAATAGAATGCGACAGAGAACTGCTCTGCCGCTGTGCAGTGCATGGAACACGGGCTTCCCCAGCAAGCCAGGGGCGGACTTTCTCTCCCACCTTGGGCAAGCACGGGAGACCCTGTGGTCCTAGAGGCCAGTGAGTCCAGGTGGGGGAGGGTAGTCCAGAGGCTGCCCTGGATGAATGGTTTGAAATGTCAGGACAGTTTCAGGCAGGTGGTCAGTTTAATCACATGGCAGTTCCATTAGGTAGGGCTGCCTCTTTGGAAGGATTAATACACGAAGCAAGGTAAGGGAGGATGCCCTGGCCGGTTTGGCTCAGAGGTAGAGCGTTGGCCCATGGACTAAAGAGATGCGGGTTCCATTCCGGTCAGGGGCAGGTACCTCAGTTGCGGTTTGGTCTCTGGCCCTGCTTGGGTCGTGCAGGAGGCAACCAGTTGATATCTCTCTCTCTCTCTCTCTCTCTCTCTCTCTCTCTGTCCCTCTCTCCCTCTCTCCCCCTCCCTTCCTCCCTCGCTCCCACCCTCCCACTTGGTCTGAAGATAAATGGAAAAAAATATTCTCGGGTGAGGCTTAGGGAAAAAAAGAAAGAAAAGGGGGACGACTTTGCTGTTAAGGGTTAAGAGTGTGTACATCTTAACTGAGTGTGACTCTTCAGTATCACAATTAAGACCTTTTGTAGAAGAGAGAGGGCATCTTAGGTGGGAGAGGCATTCACTCGGCCCAGGGACCCTGGTGCACAGGGATCCTTCATTCTGTCCCCAGAGGCACAAGCCCCCGTCTCTCCTCCTGTGGCTCTAGTCACTCTGCCCTCCCCACACTAGAGCCCAGAGGCTATTGTAGATACATGAACAACAAACATCTTTTTAAATACTGGGGAGATAAACATTAATGAGAAAATACCCCATTTGAGAAACTCATAGTCTAGGTAGATACAGGAACCAGTGGATTGGTACACAGATCTGCCCTGGACAGGAAGGCGTGTCGGCTGGTTGCATGAAGCTGAGGTACCAGGGCTCCCCCTTGGGTGAACAGAAACGTGAAGGGATTTGAGGCAGGGTAAGCAGGCTTCATCTTGGCCCTGGAAACAGGGAGGCTGTGGACACAGCATATGGTTCCACAGCACACCCTCCATCAGGCCTCATGTTGCAATGGGGTGCAGTCTGGACCACTGAGTCACTGCACCGAGGACAAGTCCCTGGAGAGCAGACGTGTGTTTGTCATCTCATGTTGCTCCGTGAAAGGATGATGCTTCTCTGTCTCCATGATCACAGATGACCACTTCTACTTCTTCAATTTAAAGAAAGATTCTCATCTCTGGTTGAGATGTATGTGTTTTGCTTTTCTGTCCTGTTCAACTTGTTGTCAAGAAAAGCAATGGTTTGGACAATGGCATTGATAGCACCCTGATTGAATATGTGTGTGTGTGTGTGTGCAAAGCTGGGCAGGATGGGGATTATGATAGGCTACATCTGTCAGTATGGGATCAGTAAAAACAGGTGTAAAACTCTTCAGTTCAGAACAAAAGAGAAACAGCTGTGCAAATTGTAGAGGAAAATGGGTGCTTCAAAGGCAAACTCTGTGTTGTGTAGGCACATCCTCCTGGATTCTCCAGTCCCGATTCCGTGGAGACTGCGCTTTTGTTGCCTCATGCTGTCTTACAGTGATTGAGATTGCGGACAACCTGTAGTCACGTAGAATTCTTGTCATAGACTCGAAAATAAATGTTGGTGGGAGTTCAGCTGACACTGTGGATTGCCAGTTTTGCATTATTTGAAAATTCATTTCCATAGTCCTAATCTGGACACGTGTCTGTTCTTGGAATCTTCCTTTGAATGGTAGTAACATCTGCTTGGTTCCCTCATTAGATAATGAGTTTAAAAATCTTTAACGTGTATTTATTTTATATTTATATGAGAATCATGGTTTCACCTGATTTTGAAAGTTATCCTTTAACAAAACAGAGAACGGGAAAAATTTGGGTAGCTGATACCATATGTGATAAAGATTTGAAGTCTTAAGTTGACAATAAATTCATTGTAGGTCGCTGGTACAGTATGGTTGTTGCTTTGGTTATTTAGATCTTAAGTACTTAATTTAGAATCACTATTCCAAGCCTCTGGCCAACTTTTCTTATTTTTAACCCAGTCACTTGATTGATAATTGTTGCTATAAATCATGTTTTAAAATCTGGTATAGCAAGCTATTTTAGTTGTATTCTTTAAAAGGAACACTTCAGATGAGTTACACTGTAGGTTTGTCAGAGTCTGCGATGTGTTCCTTTGGGGTCTTAGTGTTGTATGAGGTCTACAGATACTTGCTTCGGAATTATTGTCATTACTACTGTATTTGGTCTTTTCAGTGAGAAGCACTATATACCTTTCCAGTTATTCTTCTCATTCTTTTTTCTCCCATTAGGAGTTTTACATTTTATTTGAATAATTAAATCATTTATGTCTTGAAGTAAATAAATATGCATTTAATAGTTTAAATTGTAAAAAAAAAAATTGTTAACCATTTATTTGAATATTGTGGCTGTTACTATAATTTGATGAGGTTTTAGAAGTTATTTCTTTCTTAATTTTGATTTTACTAAATCCAACAGCCAAATATTTTAATTTAAATTATCTCATACTTTATAATGAAAGGTAATGGGGAAAATTATTTAGTTGAAAAAAAATTACTTTTCAACAAGCTTCTCTGAAATGTACTTATCTTACCAGAAAGGAAATGTCTGTATCTGTCTGCATGGACCCTGTCACCATTTGGGGTGTCCCATACTGCCAGTGGTTCCATCTAAAGTGTCTCAAGGCTCTCAGCCTCTGAAGCCAGGACCGGCTTCCTTCCGCCATTCCCGTGGCACTCGCCTGACGCTCACCTGGGCCGGAGCTCGGGTTGGTTCAGGTGAGCACGGGGGCTGCCCTCTGCTGGACATGCAGGGGCGTGGGCTGAGGAGCCTGGTCAGGACCACGGGGGCCTGTTCCAGCTGCCCTAGGTTACCACCCCTGGATTTGTTCTACTTGGGGGGTGGATTGCATGATGAGTAAGGAGTATTAATTTTTTAAAAGACAGATCGACTTTGAAGATACAAAAGTTAATTGCAAGAAATAAAAATTGTGAATGAAGGAAAAACTTTGTTATTCAGGATTTTATATATTATTGTGTTGAAAGATGAAAAACTGCCCTAACGATATGTTCACGTCTCCTCTCTGAACACACAGACACTCACTGTCTCCGAGGAAAGTGATGATAACAGCCTCTTGACATCCCTGTCGTGTTCTTTGTGATAATAATAGGTTTGTCCCTACAGTGCATAAAGGTACCTCATGTGCTCCAACTAAAAATTAAAGTTGAGCCCTGGCCGGTTTGGTTCAGCGGTTAGAGCATTGGCCTGCGGTCTAGAGAGACCCGGGTTCGGTTCCCGCTAAGGGCATGTACCTCGGTTGCAGTTTGTCCTCGGCCCTGGTTGGTTGTGCAGGTGTCAGCCATTCGATGTGTCCCATTCACGTCGATGTTTCTCTCTCTCTCGCTCTCTCTTTCTCTCCCTCCCACTCTGTCTGAACAAAAAATGGAAAAATATTCTCGGATGAGGATTAAAAAAAAAAAATTAAAGTTGAGTTTACACCTGGTTGGTCCCAACTATAAACCTATGGTCTAGAAATTGTCAACTACTGTAACTATGTATTATGCAAATAATACATATATGGGAGTTTTTAATAAAAAAATTAAACTCAATTGGAGTTGATGTAAGGAGGATTATTTTATATTTTTCAGTTACAATTGGTCCAGTATTATTTTATATTAATTTCAGGTGTTTATCTTAGCGGTTAGACACACATATAATTTATAAAGTGATCCCCTTGATGAATCTACTCCCCCCCTGTCACCGGGCATAGTTATTACAATATTATTGACTCTCTACCCTGTTGTACTTTACATCCCTGTGACTGTTTTGTAACTACCAATCTTACTCCCTTCACCTTTTTCACCCAACCCCCCAACCCCCTCCTATCTGGCAACCATCATTTTGTTAGGGGATGATTATTATGCTAATCAATACTTTTGTGAAATATCTGTCCTAAAATATAAACTAAATATAGGCCAGAGGGCAAAAGGTGACTGAGTAAAGCCAGATTTTGCAAATTACCAAAAATGGAAAAAGAACCAGCCTTAAATTACATTTCTGTAGTGTGGAGTGGCCTAGAAAGGACGGAACAGTAAGGGCCATGAATGAGTAGCTAACCAATTACTCATCATCACTTCACAAACTGGGAACATGATATCGAGAGACATGCAGTAACTTGCCAAGGACACGTGGCTCAGGAATGGGAGAGTGGGGTCTCATTGCTATCCGGCTCAGTGCATCCTCACAGCCCGGGGCTGATGTGGGCACCTCTCAACCCGTCGAAAGAGCTGCACAGAGCCCCGGGGTCCAGCAGCCACCCCATGTGACCAGCTCCCAAGAGATTGTCTAGTGCTGTCCCAGCAGGTGTGAGCCGACAGACAAGGACCTCCAAATGCCTGACAAATCCTCTGGTAAGAAAGACCAAAACAGACACACAGAAAAGAAACAAAGGTAAAAGCAAATGGGAGGAAACACAAATTAGACCAGAAGAATAAAGAAGCCACACTAACCTCCTCAGTGCTGTGAATGGAAACCATTGCACTTAACAAAAACAAAGACTTTCAGGTAGAGGAGGGAGAAGGTGATTCAAGTAGCCAAGAGATGACTTGGAAGTAAAAATATAAGATTTAGGTTTTGAATGTCTCACTGCAAGAGGGAGAAGGAGAGCCCTGGCCGGTTTTGCTCAGCGGTTAGAGCATCGACCAGCGGTCCAGAGAGACCCGGGTTCGGTTCCTGCTACGGGCGTGTACCTTGGTTGCAGTTTGTCCCTGGCCCTGGTTGGTCGTGTGGGTGGCAGCCACTCGATGTGTCCTTTTCACGTCGATGTTTCTCTCTCTCTCTCTTCTTCTCTCTCCCTCCCACTCTATCTGAACAAAAAATGGAAAAATGTACTCAGGTGAGGAAAAAAAAAAGAGTGAGAAGGAGCAACTGAGGCTACCCGATTGGGACGAAGAGACACAGCTGACAGCGGAAGCTGAGCGCCTGTCCACTCAGACTGCCATCTGGATAACAGATGCCCCAGTGGGAGTGGACAGGGAACACAGGCACAAAAGAAACACTGAAGACAGAAGCGATGAGAATACCCCTGAAGCATCGAGGGCCCTCTGCGATGGTTGGACACAGGTCCACACGCCCACCCTTACCGGAAATCTTGGAGCACTGGTAGTGGAGTTCCAGTAACATGGGTCTGGGCATCTAGGGAAAGGGGTACGGAGAATCCTCACTGTGGGGAGACAGCGGAGTGAAGCCTTCGGACGTCTGAGGGAGAATTACCCCAACCTATATGTTTTACTCAAACATTCAAGAAATGGTCGAAAAATGATCTCCCAAGACCTTTCGTTAGGAAGCTATGGGATAATGTCTTCATCTATGATGCAGTAAGCTGCAGATGGATGGCTAGAGACCCTGGGGTACTGGTGAAGGGGGTTGTTCTGAGATCCTCAGGGGACCCCATGTAAACCAGGCCAGACACAGCACAGGACAGCTGTCTTGAGATGCCCCCAGGGTCCCGCGTTGACACCTGCTGTGCCCGCTGGCATGCGAGGAGATGAGAACTGGCAGAGTGGGGTGGTTCAGGCTCCTCGGGGTGCAGTCAACCAGCACCGTGTCAAGTGAGGAAACATGGGGTCCCTGTCACAGAGCTTTCACCATGGTGACAACAGAGCATCGATGAGCAATCTGATGGAGTGTCCCCGTAACTGTCTTGGGGGCAGGAAGGGTGAGGTGGAGTGGGAAGTGGGCGTTAGGACGCCACAGCCTGTGCTCAGCATGGGGAGTGCCTGGACAGGTGCTTCTTGGGGGGACGTGGCTCAGGAGCAATGCGAGGCTCACTTGTTTAGGGATTCAGAGGTAAAGGCCAAAAGAAATAGCTAGAAGAGGTGCGAGTCTCTCCCTCTGGGGAGCTGGAAATGGAAGAGGTGATATTTGAGAAGCACTGTTTTTCCTAACAGGCCATATGCAGCTATCTGACCCTTAAACTCTGTGCATGTGTAACTGATGAAATACATACTAAATTTTAAAAAAATCGATACTTCCTGTTGTTCATCTTGAGGCTGATCATTGTAGCCTGGCAACCACAAAAGGTCTGGACTCTGGGGTTCTGGGGCTCATGAAGAAGGGCTTCCTGGAGCCCAGAAGTCTGGGGCCTGGTGAGGAGAGGGGATGCCCTTCTGCTGCCTTCCCTCGGCAGCCACGCCTTTGCTGACGGGCACTCCCTGTGACAGCAGCTCTGCAGCAGCGGCCAGTCCCCAGGGGTGGGTTGGAGCAGGGAGCCATGTTGGCAGAGGCCCCAGTCACAGCTGTTTCAATGTCTGCGTCTAAAACTGGTAAACTGACTCCATTCTCATTTCCAGCAGAACCGCTTTGAGGGGCCCCATAATGGGATTCCAGTTGGTGGGTGGTTTGACCAGAAACTGGAGCACAGTGGGGGTGCTCAGAGCCTATCTCTCAGCTCTTTCCCCTTTGGCTGTGAGGCTGACATGGCCCCTGGGCAGTGTGAATGTTCGTTAATGAGAGCCAGGCATCCGAGCCCTGTGCTTATAATAAGCCATTAGTAGAAACAGGAAGCGTAAGAAAGAAACACTGGAAATACAGATGAACAAGGGATGCATTTGCCTGGAAATGGCCTCCACCAGCTCTGTAACCTACATTCTCAGGATCTGATCTCTTGTATAGCAGATCACCTATTTCTCTGGCGTTTAAGAAGGTAAATTAAAAGAAAAAACAATAGAGTGAAAATTATGTCAGAGTAGGTGTTTAACATAATGAGAATAAAGATAGTCCCGGTTGCGATTTCATGGAGAAGTACTTACATGTATCAGCCTGGGACGTTCTTTCCTACTTCATCATTGAGGAACAGATTTAGAGAAAAAGCAAAAGGAGGAAACAAAGGAGGGAGGGGAGAGGGAAGGGAAAGAGTAAGTTTGTGATAATACAACCATTAGTAACACACGGATCTAAGACTAAGTATACATTTGTCCATTCACTTGCCCCACCTGCTTGCTCAGTGTCTGTTGTGTGCCAGACATTGTTCTAGGCTTCCGGTGTTAGAAATAACTTAGCACATTCTCTGCCGTAGTGCAGTGTCATTTTTCAGTGGAGGAAGACAGAAAATACTTGACAAACAAATGACCCAGAAAGGAAAATTGATAAACTGGACTTCATCAAAACTAAAACCTTTGTTATGCAGTATACCCTAAGATGGTGAAAAGACAAGAAACAAATTGGGAAAAATATTCAACAAACAAGTAGTATCTAGAATATACAATGAACTCTCTAAATTCAACAGTTTAAAAAGAAGAACTTAGAAAATGGGCAAAGGCGTGGACAGACATTTCACCAAACAGGATGCACAGACATATAGCAAATAAGCATATGAAAAGATGTTCAACCTCATCACCTTGAGGAAAATGCAAATTAAACCCACACCGAGATACCACCCACACCTATCAGCATGGCTGACATAGAAAATAGTGACAACACACATTAGTGCACAGTAGCCCAAGCCTGCAAACAACCCTTGTGTCCTTCTGCAGGTGTATGGGGAGCAACCATCGAGTCACACAGCAGCTTGGAATGATCTTCAGAGAATTAGGCTGAATGAAAATTTCCATGCCCAAAGGTTACTGAGATATAATCGACATATAACATTATATTCATTTCACACAGGATTCAACATTTGTATATATTGTGAAATGATCACCCAAGTAAGTGTTGTCAATGCCCACCCATCACCACATGTAGTTAAAAATTGCTTTTCTTGTGATGAGAACTTTTAAGGTTTACTGTCTCAACAACTTTCAAATATACAGCACAGTATGGTTGACCCCAGTCACCATGAGCTACAGGACATCCCAGAACTTGCTTATTTTATAACTGGAAGTTCATACCTTTCGACTCCCTCTGCCCTCCCCACCCCTGGCAACCAGCAGTCTCGTCCCTGTATTATAGAACATTCTTGAAGTGGCAAATTATAGAAATGAGGAAAGATTAGAAGTTGCAGGAGGAAAAGTGTACGTAGCTGTAAAGGTGACATGAGGGACCCCTGTGGTGGTGGACACGTGGACTCAACAAGTGATAATTATGTAGATTATACACACACACACACACACACACACACACACACACACACAGGAGTACAAGCAGAACTGGGACACCTGAACCAGGTCAGTGAGTGAACCTGTCAGCATCCTGTTGTGATGATGAGCTGCAGCTTTGCAAGAAGGTGTTACTGGGGGTACCAGGTTTGAGAGTGCATGGGACCTGTTATTTCTTACAGCTGCATGTGAATCTACAAACATCTGAAAACAAAGAGTCTAAAAGAAAAAAACATCTTGCATAATTTCCTATGACAAATGCTATTAAAAAGCCCTGTGTGTTACCTGAAGGACAGTGGTGAGAGGAAGGTGTCAGTCCAGCTCCAGCTGAGGACCAGAGTGTGACTGAGTCTTCGAAGGTGCTCCCACCTGGCTAGTGTGTTTGTGTCTGTAACTAAGCTCCCTGCTAAACCCTTCCTTTAGGAGCCCATCCTGGGGATTCCATAAGTGGTCACAAGCAGCCCATGTGACAGAAAACTGGGAGCAGCCAGGACCACAGGTACAGAGCCCTTTCCTCTGCACCTGAACTGGGACAGGTGATGTCTGGTAAGACTAGTCGCTGAGGGAACTCAGGCATTGTTCTGTATGTTCATACATAGTGGAGGGTGTTTTGTGAAGAGGGGTCAGCTCAGTGTATTTCATTCTGTTTTTCTAACTGCTACTTTAAAAAAGAAATTTGTATTTACATGCCAGTTATCTTAAATCAGGAGATGCATATGTTTGTAAGAAGCATCACATGCCCTTTGAGGGTGTTGAGCCTGTGACCCACTTGGCAGTGGCTTCTGCATCTGCAGCTCCTCGGAGCCTCCAGAGGGAAGTGCCTGAGAACAGGCCCCTAGCAGTTCCCCTAGTGGGCTTCCTCCATCAGAGGGCTGGTGTCCCGTGTCTGCGGGTGAGCAGATGGGAAACTAGGAAAGGAGCCCATCACCCTGTCGCTTGAGGATGGGAGGACAGAGATGTGACATTTGGAGGAGCAGCCTCCATGAAGAGATGGAGGCAGGGCAGGGCTCCACGTGGGAAATGGGAAGGGCATTTCAGCTCCCTGACTGGCGAGTGTGTGCTCGGGATATGGAACATGCCGTCATTGTGTCTACTAGCCTACCCCTCCAGGGGAGCATGAGTATCTCCAGGTCTTTTCCTGTGCTGTCTTCCAAGAACCACAGGGATCCCCCACTGTCGATGACTGCTGTGGCCCATCTAGAAAACACTGTAGAATGCTTAAAGCAGTGAAGGTGCGTTTCTGGGGTTATCAGATGAGTATGGCACTGTGTGAATTAATTTAATAACATTTTACAAATGTGTGATTTTTTGTAACGGTGTTGGCAGTGTGTCAGATGGAGTGGCTCTGTTCTTCAGCACCCAATACTATTTGTGTTTTCTCATTTAATTATTTTGCTTTATGTTGGTTTGTTTATAAGATTTATTTAAATGTGTCTATTTGATGTTCTTCATATGGTGAGAATTAACATGCATTTTCATAAAACCACTATATTGAATACCATCCAAACCATTCTTAGCCAATTTAGTAACATCTCAGAACGTATTAAAAATAACTGTGCCCACTATATAAACATTAACGATAGATTATTTTAAGGCCTATTTTAAATATAATCTGGGTGTTATTTTATAGTTAGAACAAATAATAATTTAAATTATTAAGAAGTTGTGGTTTCCTTTTTTAATTAGCAACTAACATGCGCTTATAAAGTCTTCTAGATGAAAGAACTGCAGCGTACCTGCTGTCTTTACAGTGGAGAAGGACAAAGACAAAACCCGCACGGTCACCTGCTGGGGGTAGAAGCTGTGCTTATATGTACAGACACATGCATCTGCTTCTCTACTTAGCCTCTAAATGTGCCCTACTGCCATAGTACCTTTTAGACTCAATCACGGAGATAAATCTTACACATAGTTCTATGAGAACATGCTTTCAGTTTTGTGTAGTTTTTACATCACAAACAGTAATTTAGTTTTCTAAAGGAGTTTCCTATGATGAGTCATTTATCGGAGATGAACTGGTGTGATGAGAGGTGTATCTCCACCATCCTTCCTGTAGCATCTGCTTGGGTCTGTGTGCTCGCCTGCTTATCCCGACCCTGCTGTCTTCAAGTGCATGTAGGAATTTTGTTTCATGATGAATATCAACCTCATCTCTTTGCCTTTTTATTTTTCTCTAGAGTGACCCACATCTGGTGGAAGAGAAAAAAAAAATGTAGCTGTCGAATCCAATCAAGTGTTTGTATCTCTCAAATTATCAACATCATCCCGTCAAGAAAGGTCCTGGTGGGTCCCACAGACGTATGGCTGCCCGAGGAGACATGTAAAGGTAATGGTCCTGTGTCCTGCTCCAGGCTCATGTGCAGACACGTATCTGGTCTGTTTACCTCAAAAAACATAAAGATGGGTTTGTGAATGCAGGTTTTTTATTTTCCAAAGAGCACAGTGTCCCTTCCTTTTAATAAACAAACTCAATATAAGGTCAGGTTTTGTGATTCTTTCTAAGCAGAGACTCAGGTAGCTTCTGTGATCCCCTCACATCACCCAGAAATAATTTCATGACTGCCGTTGTGGGTCTGCTCCCACTTTGGCACTTGTACAGATCAGCTCTGTTTCCCTCTTAGTCCTGTTTAGGAACACTTTGTCTTTAAGGGAATGAATGAGGTTTTTAATTAGGGCCTCGTTTGCATAGCCCAAGGTCCTTCTGGGGCCACTGTCAGTACTGTTGGTAACCCCGCCTTGGTGCTGCTGTGGACCTTGGGAGCTGTGCTCCTTGCAAAACTTCAGGTTGTTAAGATTTTTCTTTTCAGAATTGTTTAAATGGTAGTAGAACACAAGTGACATAAAATGTTCCTTTCAGTCATTTTCATGTTTTCGTGTATGGTGCGGTGGTAACTGTGTGGCCATCACCACCATCCATCTCCAGAATGCCTGTATCTTACAAACCTGTCCTTCTTCCCCATTAAGCAGTTCCTCCGTGTTCCCTTTGCCCCCATTTCCTGGCAACCTCCATTCTACCCCAAGGAGCTCCCATGAGTGGAATTACAATGTTTGTGTTTCTGTGGCTACCTTCTTTTACTTAGTACATCTTCAAGTTTCGCCCTTGGCTCTGTGTGTGACAGGATGTCCTTTCTCTTTAAGGCTGGATAGTATCCCATGGTCTGGGTGGACTACAGTGTGTTTATCTATTTTGAAGACTGTTGCTATGAACATGCGTGTGCAGATCCTGCTTTCAGTCCTGAGTGTGTACCTAGAAGTGGAATTGCTTGTTCATGTGCTGATTCTGTTTTTGATTTTTTAAAGAGCTACCATACTGTTTTCCATAGTGGCTGTACAATTGTACATTTCACCAACAGGGTACAAGCCTTCCAATTTCTTCACACCCTCACCAACACTTGTTTTCTGTTTCATTTGTTTTTAATAGCCATCCTGATGTTTGTGAAATGGTAGTGCATGGTTATTTCGCATTTCCCTAATGGTCAGTGATGTGCATCTTTTCACTTGCTTTGGCCATTTTTTTCTCTTTGGATAACTTTCTGCTCAAGTCCTTTGCCTTAACTGAGCTGTTTTGTTGTTGTTGTTGAGTGGTAGGGGCTGTTTACATATTCTGGATAGTAACCCTCCTCAGACATATGATTGGCAGACATTCTCTCCCACTGCAGTGCTGACTCGGGGGAGCCCATTCACCCTGGTTCTGTTGCTGCCTGTGCTACTGGTGTCCTAGCCAGTGCTGGGGGACTGTCCTCTGGCCTCTCTTCACACTCTGCTCTCACAATATGGTATGGTCTGTTTTGAATTAATTCTTAGTTTCTACATCCTACATGGTGTAGGTTAAGGGTGAAACTCCATTCTTTGTATGTAGAACCCAGTTTTCTCAGCACCATTTGTTGAGAAGACTGTTGCTTTTCCTACTGAATGGTCTTGATGCCCTTGTCGAAAATCATTTGGCCATGTATGCAATTTGAACATGGACCCTACCATAACTTGTTCTTTTTTTCAATTTGAAAAAAAGATTCAGATTATATTACATAGTTTTTTCTAAGCCTGGTCTGGTGGACAATAAGTAATTATATAAGAATGTTAGCCCGGCTGGTGTGGCTCAGTAGTTGAGCGCCAACCCATTCACTAAGAGGTCGCCAGTTCGATTCCCGGTCAGGGTACATGCCCGGGTTTTGAGCCAAGTCCCCAGTGTGGAGCATGCAAGAGGCAGCCAATCGATGTTCTCTCTCATCAGTGTTTCTCTCTCTCCCTCTCGCTCTTTAAAATCAATTTTTAAAAAATGTTAACTAGAGTTCTATGAAATCTGCACTGAGAATGAAGATACGGTTTCTGTTTAATTTCTTAAAACTCAGCCTTTGGAAGGCTTCTGTTCTCCAGAAGTGATTCCTTGGTAGAAGGCCGCAGGTGCCGCCAGGCTGTTCCGCATGATCTCCGCCTTCAAGGGTGAGCTGCTCCAGCTTTCATTCAGTCCATCGTTCTTGATGAGAGACCTGGATACAAACACTCAGGTGTTCGGGCAGCCCCCAAGAGCACTGTCAGCGTTGGTGTGTGGGAGGCACAGGACTCTGGAGCATGTGGCTGACCGCCTGCCTGTGTCACGCTGGTATGATGAAAACAGTCAAGACTGCACCTGGCGTGTGCGCTGGCACTAGGCACTCACTGCAGTCCCCAGACACTGTGAGTCTGAGTGGTTCCTCTTCCCACTGTGGGGTCAGGCAGGTGAGGTCAGAGCACTTAAGTGACTCCCAAGGTGACACAGTGGGTGAGCGGCCAGGATAGTGCCTGGAGCAGGCTGCCGTGCACAATAGCACAAAATGCATCTTACTTAGGGATCTGACTCTGACGCTAATTACTAATTCCAAGTAGTCCTCACATTTCGGTCGTTAATCCAAGTCTTTTTCCAAGCTGAATATAAATATTCAGAAGGTAGCATTAGAATAAAATATGACAAAAAATTACTCCAAGAAAAGGCTTTGATCACACACCCTTTTTCTGTCTCAGATACCAAGGAGTAAATGTGTATTAATCATTTTTTCATCTGTTTCTCATTTATTCAACACTCTGAGATGTATTTTGTGCTAGGAACTCTTCCACGAACTCTTCCAGTCTCTGGAGGTGCACAAATGAATAAGCTGTAGTGACACCCTCGCAGAACCCACAGACTTAGCAAACGTAAGGCGTGGCCCCCAGGCCCCTTCCAGGACAGGACTGTGCCTGTCCTTCCTCCATGCCAGAGCACACTCCCTGGCCCCGGATCAGCAGGGGTCTGGGGGAGGTGATGTAAGAGGACACAGAAGAAACCATAACTCTGATTAGAGGGGTCAAAGATGTCTTTGAAGAGGAAGGTGACCCCAGACTGGACCTTAAAAGGTTAATTCACTAGATGGATGAATCTGGAGATGACTTAGTAGGTGGAAGGAAACATAAAACCCAAGGACAGGAAGCATCAAGGCACAAATACATGGACAGCAGGCACTTGGCACCTACAGCTCCCATTAGGAAGAAGGACTTCATTCCTGGTGCTCGGTTTGGGGTTATAAAGAGAGAGGTGTGCTGTGTGGGTCCTGCAGTCCACAGCAGAGAGAATGTGAGACCATCGACCTCAGTGCCCTTTCAGATGGAGTCTGTAGCAGGGTGGCTCACTCCAGGGGTGGGTCCACCTGCTCTCGGTCCTAGAACTTGATCTCCACCGGCTCTCACTCCTCTGCCACCATCCTGTCTGTCCCAGGTACCCAGCATCATTGTATTCAACTGTGCAGTTGTTCAGACTGTGGATCCCTAGGACCATGTTTCTGATGGTCTTGATCTTCAGATTACAACTCAGAATCAGCACCACTCAGGTGGAAGGACCTGTAATACCAGCTGCCATCCTTCAGCAGCAGCTTTTGAATGCAGCCCAGTCCCACGACCTTCACATACCCAATCTTCCCACTGTGACCCCCTCACAGACCCCCACGTATCACAGGCCCTATCCACAGCTGCTTGCTTCCTTGGCATCCTTAGCTAAGGAGAACTTTGGGTCTTGCTTGTAGGGTAGAAACAGAAACACCATAGATCACAATTTAGATGTAGGGCACTTTTGTGCTAGTGTGTCCCAATGGCACTGTGGTTACTAAGCCATGAGCACCTGTGGCATCTGCAGCTGGAGCCCTAGGAGACCAGCTGCCTCTGAACAGGAGCCCAGAGCAAACCACACTCTGCATCCCCTTCCATGCTAGAGCCTCTCTTTAGAATACGGTAAGTCTCTGTCTCCCGGAAAGCTCTGTGGCTTGTCTTCTCAATGGCGACTGTTTAAAGAAAAGTGCACCACACGTCCAGAGGAGGGGTCTGGTGAAATAGCTCCAACTTCATAAATCTGTGCTCCTTGTCCCTTCGAAACAAGTTTATTTAAAATAGCTACCAAGTGCCAGGAGGTCCGATCTAGCACTGCCAAGAACCACCTGCGTGCCTTCGGGCCAAGCCCATCAAAGCCTTCCTTTCCCTCCCCAAAGTATACGAAAGGGCTGTGCACAGCCACAGGAGTGGGTTCCATGAAAAGAGCATCCACTACCAATGATGGTAACGGTAACTAAGTATTTATTAAAGACCCCAGGTGCCAAGCTGGGTCAGGGACGTGCCACCCCGCACATTACACTCAGTGCTCCAGCTGCTGTGGGAGTGGTGCTGTCTCACCCATGTCTACAGCAGAGGAAGCCAGTGAGCAGCAGGTGAGTAATCTGTCCAGCATCAGAGTCAGTAAATGGCACAGATAAGATTCAGCCTGAGGTAGGCACTGTAACTGCCAAGGCAATGTTCTTACCCTGAGCGTGTCTCTGCCAGGTCTCCAGGGCCCTGTGCAAACCAGACACGTCGTTACTATGTCTGCTCCACATGCACTTTACAGAGTGTGTGAGATGTGGATGTAGAGTGTATTTGCACATGGAGCTCACATATAAAAACACACTATAAATGTGTTGTGCGTAATGTACATATGCACAGTTATGTGTACAAGTAAAATACAAATACATACTTTTATATCTAAATATAGTAACATCAATTGTTTATATAGAGAGATACAGTGTATCACATGTAGCACATAGACACCGTGCTTTTTTAAGACTCAGGTTGACACTAAGTCACCACCACCCTCATACACCTTTCCCTAGAAAACAGCCAAATACTTCTGAGTCACATTTTGTTAAGATCATTCCTAAATCATGAATGACTTATTTTTCATTGTGTGTATAGTAACTTACTCATATTGCTTAAATATGTCTGTGATTTTCATTACCCTTCATTATACGGTATTTATTATAATGTGATGTTATACACTATTATGGAGAGTAAAAT